CGAGGTCAAATATCGATTGTTTGTTGTCAGGTCTGTACCTGGTAGGTAGGCTGATATGACCGTATAGCAGGATACTTGCGGTGAGTTTTTGTTGTTCTGCCCTGTAGGTTTTGCTGGGGAAGCCGAGCTTCCCATGTCATGCAGATTGCAGTCGACGGAAATAAGAACGCGGCTGTAAGTTGGGAGTAAGCATTTCGTCAGTGATGATATTAGGTGGGAATACATCTCTGGAGTGAACGATGGGAAGTTATATATGCCGCACGCAAAGCAGTTGTCGTCGTGACTGAGAGGCAAACGACACCACAGCGAATTGGTGTCCTGCATCTCCAATCATCCAGTGCTTCATATCGTAAGTCGTTACGATAGTAAAGGATAGCACCACTTCCCCTGCTGGGACGATCGTGTCAGAACAAGGACATACCCTGAAGCACGATCACAGCACCCGTAATCTTTGAGTGCAACTAAGTAGCGGTTATGGAGATGCGATCCCAAGCGCCTACTGCCTGGCGCAACCGAAGCACAGCCATTTTCCTGTGGAGGCATTAGGCTTTCGTGTACATGAAGGAAAGTGTTTCGGTCCGCGGCAATCATCAGAGGCACTTGTGGCCAGAGGATAAGTTGTGCCGACCGTTTTATGATCTGAAGGCAGTCGTATTTTGTGGTATTATCGGTGAGCCGCTTAAGATTGTGTTCGGCGGCATTGTGATTAGCCCCTCCGACAACTCAGTTTGCACAATGCATGATGAGTGACTACAACATTGCACAGGAAGATTCTCACCTCCCTTAGACTTGTATCTGGTGTACATTTCGGAGGAGATCACTAATTACGTTGCCTGCTGTGGTGGGGCTTTAAATCAGACGACCGTTTTGCTTGCAGCTTTGAACCGGAGCTCGGTTAGCAGTCTGTTCCTAAGTGCATACCAGCGTACCAGTAGCGTAACTGTCATCTGCCTAGTTTGTAATACAACCTTAATTAGCCTTATGCCGCACCCTTTGTAGCTTTCTGACCTTGGTGGTCTCGAGAAAAAACTGGCTACAACGTCATTCAAGAGCAGGGTCTCACGAAGATAGCGCCACTCTCCCGGTCGTGTGCCTTTGTTTTGTTTTCATCCTGCTCGTGAGACTGGGAGACGCCGTGGCCAAAAGCGGTTATGGCTACGGTGTTAAGCCGGAAATCCTCTATGCTTTGCTTTGCACGCTTGCGCTCGCTCCAGAGGATGTCGAGTGACACGGACCAGAATACCTTCTTTCTATAAACCAGCAGTAGAAAACGGCTCTGCAGCCAGCTCATTGGCAGAGTTTAGCACAACCCCCAAGAAACCTGGCTTCACCATAATGCTTGGAATTGGAGTGTGGATGATCCTCGTTAGGTTGGAGGGCTTTTCCGAATACCGTGGTGATTACTTATGGCATTCCTATGGTTCAAATAGGTTGATGTTGACGCAGGAACATCGTTACACGTTACAGATGGGGCATTCAGCTTTTGCTGCGTGTCTTTCTTGGGGTGTAGACCGTAGTTGGAAGACACAGCGATTTGTGCTGCATCCGTACAGCGTTGCTTTTCACGGTATCTATAGGTGTGGTTATGGAAACAGCAGTGGCTGGCTAGTCGAACAACCACCGCGTGGTGCCAGCTGCGTTGTTCAGGTTTAACACGTTCTAGCAAGTAGTTCAGCGGCAGTGTTCCAGGACGTAGTAGCTATCCGCCTAATAAGCGTTCTCCCTATAAAATGCCACACATCTATGCTTAACAACACTGTGATGAGGGGATCCTGGTTCGCCACAACGTAACGTCACTCTCCCGTGGATAACTGGATAATCATTTCCAACCCACGTACACCAAGCTTCAAATCTCACATTGCCGGCGATATCAAACCTCCGATAATGGAGCAGCACAACTACAAGTACAAACTACACAACCACACACACAATTATATACTTAATACTTCCTACACAAACATATACTATTTTGACAAACATACCGGATTTTCGCCATCCTTGATTACGCATTGTTATGTCAAATTGCTCATGTCTGTAAAGGCGTGCTTAGCCTTCTCGAACATAGGCATTATTTTATTTTATTTATTTAGTTTTGAGTGCACCTTGGCGCAACGACGGTTTAGTTGCCCCTGGAATTTGCAGGTTTCCTAGGTTTCGGCGGCATCAGGTTGGAGGAAGTGGGTTGGTGATAAATTCATATATATGGGCTGAGGGTTAGCTGTTCGGGAACACGGGTGATTTTGATTATTGATAATGTTTGCAGGTGCAACTTTAGTATTGTAGCCTTCGGTGTTGTTGAATCGGCGTTCCGTGGAGATAGGCGGAAGGGACTGTGGCAGACATTCTGTTATGCTTGTTTCTACCGAAGTTATTTTGGTGCCCAGCAGCTTCGCAATTACGTCTGTACGTTTGGTCAAGGCATTTAGCCTAATAGTTTACAAGCTGCATTGCACGACCTAGTCCGGAAAAGTATCAAACGCTTTTCGCTCTATTGGGACTCAGCAATGGTGCGCATTCCCCCGGTCCTCTACTGAGGATCTAACCCATGCCCGCTAGGTGCAGGTGCTAATTACCCGAGAACTTAAGCCACTGCGCCATGGGGACGTTGGCTGGGCTACATAATTTGCAAGGTAACTTGGATATAGAACTACCTATCTTCAACTATCACTGAGAGTAGCTAACCTGCGGGGTGCTGAATTGCAGGTGATGACAACCAGCGTCTTATCGCTGGGCCCTAAGTTCTGGCTCCCCACCAGAAGAGACAATAGCTTAGCAATTAAAGGCCAAGTTGAAAACATATACAGACAGACCACGATTAGTTCAGTCATTGGCTTCGCAATTAGCAGAGTATAAGTCGCTGCCGATGTACGCTTGCGATCAAAATCACCGAGCACGGAAAACTTATAAAATCCCGAAGAGACAAGAAAAGTTTCGGGCGCTAAACAATCTAGTCGTGAATGAAAATATTTTGCACACTCGTTTCGATAAGGCTGCACGAATTGTTTTATTAAACAAAGCAGAATAATTTTGGAAAATGCAAGAAACATTGGCGAACGACATGAATGTTGCCGATACCTTGGGCGAAAAGAAACAAAAAACCCAGCTTGAATTCAATTCTGCAACTGCCTTAAAGATTTCCGTGATTGGAGTTTTATTAGCGTAGGTGCTTATGAAAACCAACATCCCGTAGGCACTGCGGTTCCAAGGCTGTACGGTCTACCAAAAACGCATAAGCCCAACGGTCCTCTGAGGCCAGATTTGGACATGAAGTACTCTCCATACCATTCCACCGCACGGGGTCCTATTGACTTTTTGGAGACCACTTGAAAGCAGGTTTCTGTAAGCTGCCAGAAGCACGATTTTGAGTTCGTAGATGTCGTGTATGATCGAAAGGTTACTGTAGGACTAGTTATTACTAGTCCGAAACGGTGCGCGTAAGCAAGCGCCGATAGCAGAAGACAATGGGAGTCGGACACAGCGGATTGTATTCGATGGGCTACAATAAGAAGCGGGCGGATGAAGCGAGGCGAGAGCGTACACTTGAGCGCTGGAACTTACAAGGCAGTTGTGTGAGGAGCCGGTTGTAAGATTAAAACAAGAAGGGGTAATGTACAATCGGTCAACAATTAAATTGTACATGAAAGATAGCAGTTATCTTTTAGGGCGCTACAGAGCTCCCCCCTAGAAGGCTGAACATAGAAAGCCTTTGAAATCGAAAAGGAATGTTGAAACCAGGTTTGTAAGGCGAAATCGTGCCGAGTAAAATTGGGCATGCGTACGTGTAAATGGGGGTTTGTCGGAAGTCGGAGGCCGCTTTGCAGTTTGTACTTTGTTATCGATTGATTGCAGGGCAGGGTGCATTTCGGCGAGCCGTTGGAGTGGGCTTGTCAGACTGGCTAGCCCAGAAAAAGGCCGACAGGACCTCAACCTCCGCTGCTGCCAAACGGTGCGCTTGGGAGTGGTCTCTCCCCCCGCCGCACCCCGCCCCGCGCCAAAACGACCCTCGTCTCACGTAGAAACGACCATGGTCCCACGGAGAAACGACACTCGTCCCGCGAAGAAGCGACCAGCGTTCGCGCCAGGGGCCTCGAAAACATTCCTCGTGTGGGCCAGTCGATCAAAGGGGAGGATTGGGGGCATATAGAGACGAGAAAATAGAAAATCACGCGCAGAAAAAGCCAAAAAGAACAAACAAATGATCTGCGTGCTTAAATATTTTTTGGTTTATGAACATTTTTTCGAAGAAGATTTTTCGGAAGTTTTTGATATTTTTGTTTGTTTTCAAAACGTTAATCGACCAAAACTGTGGCAAATATATACAATATCTACCAAGTTAAAATTATTTACACTGAACATAGTCGGAGAAACGAATAGGCTTACATACCTCCCGTCCACGGCGATTGGTCTTGGGAGGCGGCGGACTAGGTTCGGGAGATGTCGGGACGGCTGAAGCTTGTAGACCGTGATCGTGGTCTGGTTGGACTTCATTAGCTCGTGGAAAACTGTTACGGTGAGTTGTGACGTCGCACGGGGCACTATTAGACGAAGTAGGCAAGGTAGTTTCTTCCATAAAGGCAGGTTTTAGACGGTCGATGGTGACGACTTTGCGTCGACCACCGCGGTCAATAGTGTACGCCTTACTCGCCCGGTGTAGCACCTCGAAAGGTTCTACGTACGGCGACTGATGGGTATGCGAAGTCTTGTATGGTATGAACTTAACCATTAATATATGTCAGACAACATAGTCTACCTGAAGCCGCGCTTTACGCTTAAAAATATGAAACAAGCTCCCAGATAGGTCAACAGTCCCATATATTCTTGGACAGGGGTTGGCAGCTTGTTTTACCTTGGTCTCCGCATCAGTGTCTTGTAATCCAAGGGAACGAAAAACTGCCCATTTTGCCTTAGCCGCAAATGTCCTTTGCCAAGTGGCTATTTTACACGGGTTTTGCGTTTTTAAAACAAGGCGTTGCGTCATTAAGCAGTTGGTATTCCCACCGTTAACTCATGGACTTGTATGTACAAAGCAACTGCTGAAGGCGCTCAGAATGAATGTGTTTTACTTGCGTATTCACTGGAGCGTAACATAGGAGCTGGGGTAGGACAACGTTGTATTCGTGCTCGTCCACTAGTAGCCCGGCTTGATTACACGGCGCGGGTACCTGTCTATTAGACGGACTAACCATTCGGTATGTTCTACGCGGTTCCATAATACGCATGGATTCATAGATAACAAAATATATAACGCAACCTACTCGCCCAATCTCTAAACTCAGTGGTAACTGTAAGTCAGAGGTAAACAGTGCCGTTAACAATTTCAACTTACCCGACGCTGTAACCTTGGTAGCTCGTGCATCCTACTCTGTATTGCGAACAGGAGGCAAATGCATACAACAGTCTGGAATATAAAGTGACTGCGCCTGCCGCTGTATAAGGTGACTTAACGAAAACTATAATTTGAGTCAAGAAACACCATGACCGTTGCACTAATGGAAGACAAAACTGCGGACATGAAACACAAACTTACGCAGGGGGTACTAGCACGAAGTCGCGCTGGCTTTGACTCGCAGAGCGCGTCATATTCTGTGTGTGCTGATTTGCACCATACAACTAGACAAGCGTATACCCGCTTCCAAGGTTAACCAACCTCGCATTCAGGATAAAACGCTCTTGGGAAGCTTGTTGGGTGGAGCCTGAGATAATAGTCGTTAAGGAATGACACAAGAGGCGGGTCAGATAATGGACAGGATGGAAGTTGGAGGCGACCGAACCCAAAGTATATTGTGGAGGCTGCAAAATATTGGAAGCGAATCAACCGGAGTAAGCAACGTTATGGCAGGTTACTGACCAAAGCAATATGTTAACACGGATTTGCCGTCAGTAATACAAGTGGACGTTTTGTAGGGTAAAACAACCGTAAAATCCAATTTTAAATAATACTGAAAGAGCTTGTTTTGTGGTACACTAAAAGGGCCTCTCGCTATAAGGCTGAAGGATGGAAACCTTCAATGGAACTGTTAGTCGAGGAAAACGGAAGGTGAGGATGGGTGCGAATAGTTGCATGGGCTTGAACAAAGGTTTCCAAGATGGAGTGTGTAGCAGGGTTCTCTAGGTCCAAGCTTTTGTTATCTATTAATTATGCTGATCGAGTGCACCAGGTGCATCATCGGTGGGCCGTCAGGGCGGACTGGTCGGACGGCCAAACAAACTGGATAGACTAGCAAAAAGGCCGAGAAGATATTCCCTCCGCTGCAGACCCGATGGTGCGCTTGGTAGGTGTCACTCCCCACCGCAATCCAGTCCACGGTCCTCGTCCCAATAAGCAAGCCGGCGTCCTCGTCGGCAACGCCTAGCCGGGCGTTTGTGGACCAACCCGTTTTTCGCTCTCTGCCTCCGAGAGCGATTGACTGGCCTTTGGATCAGAGAGGGTGCTTTGGACCGGCTGGCGAGTCACTCTGGGGTTGCGTTGAGCCGGTGACGGGTCACTCGAGGGTTACCTTGGCAGTTCCGGCGGTTGAGTTTCTGGAAGGTAGAACTCAGATGAGGTGGGTAAGGGTCAGGGGTGGCTTGCCGCTGGAGAAGGAAGATGGAATGCATGATGAAAGAAAATACGCGTTTAAAGTTACAACTAGGTTTTGGGTATTTTTGTGGAGTATGAAAAATGTTTGTGGGTGCGACACTGGATTATCACTGACGACGGAAAAAGCGTGTTACTGGAAATAGCAACCGTTTACAAAATCTGAAAAACTGACAGGACGTTTGACCTGTCAACCGCGTTGCTCAGTTGCCTGGCGCTAGAGCGGGGTAGGTTAAGGAGCAAGCGGAACGTAGGGTTCGGAATATTCAGTGCTCAGGAAGTCACCGCAGGTGCGGGTGCTTGCGTGATAGCACCAGGGTGGGTAGAAAGTGGTTTGTCAAAGCAAACCACGTTGAGGCGGTCGATGGACACCGTTGTTCGGTGACCATCCTGGTCTAAATTGAAATGTTTCGGAGTCCATTGCAGTACTTTGAAAGGGCCAGTGTAGACGGCTTGAGATGGCACCGCACTGCGCCGGCGCGGAGAAAGACGTGACTGCAGTTAGAGAATTCGCTGTGCATTTGCACATCTCTTGTATGCTCACGGGGCGGAGTCGGCCTTGATGAACACATGCGTTGAGCTAGTGAGGACGCAGAGTTAGGCGGAGGCCTACCCGACAATGCGGGGGGCTTAACGACTTCTCCTGCCGTAAACCAGCTCTGTTGGCGCACATTGCAAGTCAGATTTGATGCTGCTGCGAATGTCCAAGCCTACGCGCGAAACGTTGTCGCTCCAGCTGGGGTCGAAGGAGGCGCGCAGCGAGGCTGTAAGCTGTCTATAGAAGCGTCCAACTAAGCCTTTGGCTGCTAGGTGATATTTTGTGGTATGAAGGCGGCGGCAGCTTAAAAGGTTCCAGAACGTATCGAGTTGTGGAGTCTAAAGCCATTCCTCGGTCAGATGTAACAGTGGATAGGCATCCTTAGTACGAGACCCACCGTTCTAATAAGGTGCGGATAACAGTCTCAGCTGTGTAGTCTCTTATCGGAATGGCTTCTAGCCATCTGGTGCAGATGCCGACAGATGTAAAAATGTAAACAAATGCGCGTGAGGGAGGCAAGGGACCTAGCAGATACAAGTGAACGTCTGAGAACCAAGAGTCCGGGGCAGGAAATTATCCAAGAGGACGCCGGGTGTGACGATGTTTTTTGGAGCGCAGGCATCAAAGGCCGGCGCGTGCCCAGTTAAGAACATTTTTACTTGTATACAAACGAAACGTTTGGTGACTACGTACACAGATTCATAGGTCTCGAGATATGATAGTGAGTGCGGTGCGCCGAAAACTGTGCGTCTGGAGGAGGCGGGCACTGGTGGACTCGGAAACTGTGTAAGCGTCACAGAGAATGGTTCCTCCCATGGTTTGGAGAGAAGCAGATTGAACACGCAGAGAAGTGGATAGCAGATTGCCTTGTTTGTCTTCAGCTTGAGCCATGGCCGGTGCGATGGCGGCACCGTCTACGGTGGACAAAGACTGGAGCGTGAGGTTGTCGCGTGAGAGAGCGTCAGCGACAGGATTGTCGACACCTGTGACATGACTTAGGTCAGCAGTGAGCTGCGTGACAACGTCTAGTTGTCTTGTTTCCCGTGATGAGTATTTGTCGCAAGCAGAGCTGAAGGCGAAGCTGAAAAGCTTGCGGTTAGTGTGGGCCCTGAAAGCACGGTCTTTGAGTGAGTGCCGGACGTGACTAATGGCTAGGTAAATGTCGAGCAGTTCTCTGACAAACGTGCTGTAACGGGCGTCCGCTGGCTGCATGGGCTTGGAGAATAACCAATGGGGTTGCCATTGCCCACTAACGTGTTGTTGGAGGACAGCTCCTACCGCGACGTCTGAGGCAGCAGTCGTAATTGAAAGGGGTGCAGTCAATTCGGAATGAGCGAGGTAGGCTATGTTATAGGTAGCATCCTTGAGCTCGGCGAAGGTTATCGTTGAAGTGTCATGGAAAGCGAACTTACGTCATTCCATCTGAGTATTTCAGTCAGAGACTGCATGGGCTGAGCGCAACGCGTACGGAAGCGTCCATACTAGTTGTCCAAACCACAAACTCGAAGAAACTTGAATAAAGTCGGCCCTGGGAAGTCCTTAATTGGCTGGATCTTATCAGGAAGGACTTCGATACCAGACGCTGAAACGAGATGGACTAGGAAGTTTACCGTTGCTTTGCCGAGTTAGCACTTAGTCGTGTTGACTGTGACACCCTGTTGGGTCAATCGCTAGAAGAGAGTTTGAAGGTGCTCGAGTTGCTCTTCTTCCGATGAACTGTCTACTAAAATACCAACGAGGTAGGAATAAGCGAACCCTAGGCCACGAGTGACATCGTGGATGCAGTGTTGGAAGGTTTGTGCGGCGTTGCCCAGGCCAAATGGAATCCATAAAAATTCAAACAAGCCGAAAGATGGGATAACGGCTGTTTTAGGAATGTCAATGTCTTCCACAAGTGATAGATGCGAACCAGGTGATTCATGCTGAAGATCCTCTTGCCTGTGAGGCTTAAGGTAAAGTATTGCAGTTGTGAAATGGGATATTTATCCAAGACGATTAGTCGATTGAGTGTGCGGTAATCACCGCAAGGGCGCCAGTCACCAACTTTCTTGGGGACCATCTGCAGGGGAGAGGACCAGAGGCTGTCGGAAGGGCGGTCTTTTCCTAGTTCGAGCATGTTCTCAAACTCAGCCCTAGCAACCTTGAGTTTCTCGGGCGACGGTCGGCTTGGACGGCATGAGACAGGTAGGCCCTTGGTCCGTATGTGGTGCGTGACTTATGATGCCACGGGCAAAGCTGCGTTCATTGGCTAGACGAGCTTGGAATAATGAGGAAAGAGGTTGACGTTGTCTGCCGAGGTCTGAGGAAAGGCGTAGACTGGTTTTATAGATGCGATATTGGCGGTGATGTCGCGTACACTAAGCTTCGGCGCAGTGGCAATTATCATCTGGCGTTTCGCCTCGACCACGTCTAAATGCCAGAGAATGTGAAGGCCGATGGAGGCAAAGGGGACTGCAGTGACGGTGAATACCCAGCGGAACGTGCGCCGAAGACCTACGTCCAGGGTAAGCGGCGTATGATCTTTGTTGGCTATTTGCTTGCCACTGACGGTACTTGGGCTTGTCGACAAAGAAGCAGTAAGCCCATTTGGCATACGGAAAATGACGCTGATTTCCGACCCGGTATCAACTAAGAACTTGGTCTGGAAACCATAATTCCTAATGTAGATGAGACAACGGCTTTGCCGACATCGTTCCTCGTCATTATGAGACAGCCTGAAAGTTTCCCTGCTTCGCATCAGAGAAACTGCATGTTTGCTCACACTTACGGAGTTGTTACCAAAACAATTTTGCTAACAGCAAAAGACTGAATGGTTACGCTTCGTGCGACGTGATGAGCTAGAGGGGCTGAGCTGCTTGCGGGTAATTCGTTTATTGGTTTGATAGAGAGCAAAAGGAATTAACTTGGTCAGCTCCGTCCTTTCACAAACGTTGAGGATTACTGGGATCATTGTGGAACAAGGTGCCGCAGAAGGTCGCTAGGTATGTATTGTGGGCAGCAGCATCCCTGCGCACTCAGCGAGTGGGAATCTAACCGTCTTTTGTAACTTTCCTCTGTCTCCACCTCGACGACAGCCTCCGGCACGCTGTTCCGGTCATTCACTACCCGGGTTATAGGGCCAGATTGGACAGCACATGAAGTCCCCAGGGTTTGAAACGTTTCTAACTGTGACCTCGCGTTGCACTCTTAGTGTTGAGCGGAAAGAACGATTGCAGCTCAATTCCCAGCACACGTCGTAGAA